CTCCAGTATTCTTGCCTGGAGACCCCCCCCCCGCCCCCACCCCCCTGCTCCCTGGCAGAGAAGCCTGGCAGACCACAGTCTATAGGGTTGCAGAGTCAGCTACTACCCAAGTGACCCACACAAGACCTTTTTAGCTTGTGGCAGCTCTGCCCCAGTGAGAGTTGAGTGTGAAGGTGACACAGCTGCTTGGCTTTTGGGAACCCTGGCAGTGCCAAGTGTGTAGGGACATGGACTGCCTCCACTGCAGGAGTTATGGCCCTATCAGAGTCTTCTTTCAAGCCTCTTGTAGTTGGTGATCAGAAGGCCTCTTTGGCCAGTCTTTCTCCGTATCTCTGTCCGTTCAGGCATTTAGGGAGATTCCTTGCCTGGGGTCCTTCTCTGCTGTTCAGTGCATCAGGCACATAGAGGGCCCCCCCCCCCGGTTGGTATCCTACTCTATAGTTCGGCGCATCTGTCACTTAAAGGAGCACCTTGGGTGGGGTCCTACTCTGTAGTTCAGTGCGTCAGGCATTTGATGGGCCAGCCTCTCTATTGTTCAGTGCTCAATGCTGGTGTGTTGGGGGAGAGAGGCTATGGTGATGGCTCCATCCGCTATGCGTGATTCTGCAGTATCACCTTGCTTCCATGGCTGCCCAGGTTTCCTCCACAGGCATTTCCCACCAGAGTCTCCTCCCTCACATTCCCTCGATCCATCTCTCCACAGTCAACAGCAGCCCTTGCCTGGGGATTGATCCATAATTCCTAAACTCCAGCTCCCAGCTGCTGCACCTTCCAGGGGATCTGCGTCCCTGTCTGGGATATGTATGGCTGCAGCAAGGACTGTCTGATTCTCATTCCATTTAGGCTGCCAAAGATTAGTAGTTTGATTTTCAGCCTTAAATATTTCTCCTCTGACTCAGACAGTTGCCCAGATGTGGGGATCGGAACCCTGTTTCAGTTCACCCACCGGCCAAGGGCAGGTCCAGTCCTACCAACACTCTTCTTTTTTCCCATAGTTCCTTCATCCTACAGAGTTTTGAGTGGGCCTATGTATTCTTTTATGCTGGCCAGGTACTCCTGGCCACTCTCAGCTGGTGTTCTGCATGCACTTTTATGTCTGAAGGTGTATTCCTGATGTATCCATGGAGATATTTACTCCACATCCACCTACTTCTTCGCCATCTTGTTCTTCGAGTCATTGATTTTCTTAATTGATTTCCTGTTTTCAATTTCATTGATTTATATTTAGGAAAATTAAAACAAATATTTTTTCCTTCTGCCTTGGATTTAGTTTTCTACTTTCTTAAAGAAGCAGCTTAGATGATTTATTTTAGATCTGTTTTCTTTTCTAATAAATGTATTGAATGCTGTAAATTTTCCTGTAAGCACTGCTTTTGCTGCATCTTGCAAATTTTGTTAAGTTGTATTTTGATTTTAATTTGGTTTAAAATTTATCTTGAGACTTATTCTTTGGCCCATGTGTTATTTAGAAATATGTTGTTTAGTCTCCAAATATTTTGGGATTTGTCCAGCTATTTTTCTGTTGTTGATCTATACTTTAATTTCAGTGTGGTCTGAAAGCATACTTTGTCTGATTTCTATTCTTTTAAATTTGTTAAAGAGTGTTTAATGGCCCAGAATGTGGTCTTTCATAGTGAATGTTCCATGTGAGCTGGACAAAAATATTTGTTCTGCTATTGTTGGATGAAGTAGCCTACAGTCAGTTTGGTCCAGTTGTGCTGTTCAGTTCAAATTGTCGCTGACAATATTCTGCCTGATAGACTTGTCAGTTACTGATAGAGGGGGTACTGAAGTCTCCAACTTTAGTAGTGCTGGTTTAGTAGTGTTTAGGATTAGCCATTTCTCCTTGTAGTTCTGCCATTTTTTCTCTCACATATTTTAATATTCTGTTAGGTGCATCCACATTAAAGATTGTTATGCCTTCTTGGAGAATCGACCCCTTTGACATTATGTAATGCCAGTGTTTTTTTCCTGATAATTTTCCTTGCTTTGAAGTCTACTTTGTCTGAAGTTAATATGGTCACTCTGGCTTTCTTTTGATTAATGTTAGCATGGTAAAATTTTCTCTTATCCCTTTACTTTTAATCAAGTTGTCCTTTATATTTACGGTGAGTTTCTTGTAGACAGCTTTTATTTTTTTATCCACTTTGACAGTCTCTTTTAACTAATCTATTTAGACTATTCACATTTAAAGTGATTACTGATATGATTGGATTAATATGTACCATGTTTGTAACCATTTTCTATTCATTGCCCTTTTTTTTGTCTTCTACTCTTTTTATGCCTTGTCTGGTTTTAATTGAGCATATCATATTTTTACTATAATATTAGTATTTTTTCCTTCCTAAACATTTATACTTCTTTTGAAAAATTGGTTTAGAGGTTGTTTTATATTTTGCATTTATAACTAATAAAACTCCACTGTCAAATAACCCTGTACCACTTCATGGATGGCATGGGACATTATGATAGAATATTCCCAATTTCTCCCTGCTATTCTTCATAACACTGTGGTATTCATTTCACTTATCCATGAGTGTTTATAATCCAGTAATTTGTTGCTATTATTATTTTGATCAAACTATTATCTGAGAGGTCAGTTACGAATAAGAAAATTAAATATTTTACTTTTATTTATTTCTTCTGTAAAACTGTCTTTTCTTTATGTAGATCAGGGTTTCTGATGTATATAGTTTCCCTCCCTTTAAAGGACTTTTAACATTTTTTGCAAGGCAGGTCTGTTTGCAGAAAATTTCTTGAATTGTTATTTGTCTGAAGAGGTCTTTACTTATTTTTCAGTTTTGAAGGATAATTTTGCTGGATAAAAATTCTAGGCTGGTCGGCCTTTTCTTCAAGCACTGAGTGTTCATGTTGCTCTCCTCTTGTTTTCTGTTTTCTGAACAGAAGCCTTGATGTAATCCTTGCCTTTGTCCCTCTGTAGGTGAGGCTTTCCCCCCTTTCTGGCTTTCTCTAGTAGTTTCTCTTTTTGGTTTTTGTAGTTTGGATGTGACATGTCTAGGTATAGTATATTTTTGTTTGTTTGTTTTTTGTTTTTAATCATCATGTGCTTGATGTTTCCTGGACTTCTTGGATTGGGTTTGTTGTTTGTCATTAATTTTGGAATATTACTTCAAATATTTCTTCTGTTCTTTTTTTCTTTTTCTCCTCCTCTGGTATTCCCATTACATATCTGTTACACTTTTTTTGTAATTGTTCCGTGGTTTTTGAAGATTCTGTTATTTTTTTCCTTTTTTTTTTTCCCTTGCTTTTCAGTTTGAGACATTTCTACTGATATAGCTTCGGGCTCACTGAATTATTTCCTCAGCTGTGTCTCAGCTGGCAGTGAGCCATAGGTGTTCTTCATTTCTGTTATGGGTTTTTGATTTCGTTAGAATATTTGTCTCTCTACTTATCTATCTCTTCTTACCTGTTTTCTACTTTTTCCAGTAGTTCCCTTAGCATATTAATTACATTTGTTTTAAATTGCTGATCTGATAGTTACAACCATCCCTGCCATCCACCAACTTGCAATACTGTGCAACAGATAAGTGCCCAGTCTTTGGAAATAGACTATCTGTATTTTAATTCTCTTTCTGCTTCTCAGTGGTGTAATTTTTGACAACATACAGAAATTCTCTCTACCTCAATTTCTTCATTTGTGAATTGAAAATACTCAAATCCTAGTTCTTAGAGTTGTTAGGAGAAGTGGATAAGTTAGCATATAGGAAACACTTAGAATAGCAAATATGACTATCTAACATATTATATATTTACTTAATTTTTGTTGTTTTCCAGTCTCCTTCTACTTAAAGTTAGGCTGATTAAGGGCAGAGTCTGTAAAGTCTTTAAAGTCTTGAAACTAAAGAATTGAAATGTTTTTGTGCAGTTTTCTCTGTATTTACATAAGGAAGTAATGAGAAGCTTCTTAAATTTGTTTTTCAAGAGTACTTAATGATATTGGGAAACATTTATCTAGTGCTGTCATATCACACTAGTGCAGAAACAGCATAGATGGTGTGAAAGGCTTAAAGAGATTATGTGACTAGAGTAAGATTCACAAGTGTAGGGGATGGCCTGTACAGGTCAGCCATACCCAGGTCTGAGTTCACAGCCTTCTCCTCTAAGCCACATGTTGTGTTGTTTTTTTTTTTTTTTCACTTTCTTTTTCAGTATGAATACTTCAATGCCGTGCTAATAAATGAAAGGGACAAAGACGGGAATTTTTTGGAGCTGGGGAAGGAATTCATCTTAGCCCCAAATGACCATTTTAATAATCTGCCTGTGAACATCAGTCTGAGTGATGTCCAAGTGCCAACGAACATGTACAACAAAGGTAAGCCTTACTGCTGCTGGTCTTTTAAGAGGGTGAAGGGGGCAGGGTATGAGGGGCAGGGGTGGCTGGTTTGAGATATTGTGCTTTTTTGAAAAATGCGATTATAAGCCCAGTGTTTCAAGCACTGGCAGTATAGGTGAAGTGTGTGCCTCTTCTGCTTGGAGATCTAGGCTTGCTATTTTTCTGGTTCATGTTGCATTAGGCCATCTTAACTTGCAGTCTATAGGTTGGCAAACTTTTCTTTTTTTTTTTTTTGTATAGATACATTTCTTTATTTTTTTTTCCATTTATTTTTATTAGTTGGAGGCTAATTACTTTACATCATTACAGTAGTTTTTGTCATACATTGAAATGAATTAGCCATGGATTTACATGTATTCCCCATCCCGGTCCCCCCTCCCACCT